GGTAGCTTGGGCAAGTTGATTACGGGCATAAAAAATGTATCTTTCATGCTCTGTGGCGGGCAGGGTGGACATATAATTACTTGACATGTTTTATATTTATATTTGATTTATGATTTATTTATTTATTTTGATTTTTGATATATGATTTCTTACAGGGTATCTGCACATTTTTTAACAGCAAATTTAATGACTTTTAAGACCTTTTTAAGTTCTCTAAAAGGCAAATTTAAGACTTTACCACGACAAAAAAAAAGGAAAATAATCAGCACGACACGACAATTTAATAATTTTGGCAGCCATTTTTGTTTTAGTCTTTTTTTTTTGTTTTAAAATGCTTATTGGTCTTAGTCACATTTTAGTCAGTAATTTTGTCTTTCATAGTTTTAGTCTAGTTTTAGTTGACAAAGTCATTGCATTTTTTGTCAACTTTTAGTCATTACTTTTAGTCAAACTTCAGTTACCAACATTAATCTTGGTAGTTATTTTATATGTAGTCTTTAGACATTATAATTTTTCACTTTAGGCCTATTCAATTAAGCTTATAAGACATTTGAATCAAGGTAACAGGCTGTATTGACAATGCACTCTTAAGCAGTAGCACGTGTGCAATTCTACATATCCCTGTTCCTCAGTCCAAATTTTTAGATTACTGTAACCCCTCATGCACTTCGACTGCCGTCACACCTTTTCCATTTAGGGACAATATCTGCCCCCTTTAATCGATTTTTTCCAGTTCATTTTTTTACCTGTATAAATACTTTAATAAAATAAATAATGCTTTAAATAAAACAATGTTCAATAAATATCCAATGATGGTAAAAACGAGGTGATACTTTTAAACATTAAATTAAAATCGCCAGTAGGGGGCGGTAAGTCACTGTCTTTATGAGCGAGTCATCCGTTATCGAGTCATTCATTCATCAGTAACAAACATATGTAAATTCAGTGCTAAAAAACCTAACTTTGTACTTTTTTTCAACGATGTTGTACATTATATTAAGCTGATTTCTGGCTCCAACAACAAAAAGGCAATCAAAACTGTCAACATAGGGTCCTTTTTTTCTTTGTGATGGCCCTTATGCTTCCCCTGGCAAAACTGTTTTGTATTTATTTTAATGTCATTGTTTTGTATATTGTAATGTATATTTTGTTACTTTTTTGAACTGTGTTTTTGCAATAAAAAAAATAAAAATAAATAAAAAAAATCAGTAACAAACATACAAAAGCACATGGCTGTATTTAGGAACGGGTCATTGAATCTCACGAATTCGAATCACCGCTGTGTGCTGCAGTGGCTTTCATTGCAAAACAGCAATAATATGATCAACATTAAAAACACTGCTGGATATCAGCCTGTATTGATCGCAGATTTAGTCGCACAAACAGCTCGTGACAGAATAAAGACCAACTGAATGACACTTTAATTAATTCAAGTAGATATTTTCAAATAAAGATCACTGAACTCCAGCTACTTGTCTGTGTTTTCAGATCATCCGCACTTCTTCAGCAGTGTAGAGCATGGTTGCCAGATACTATTGACAAGACCGGGTACAAAACGTGTTCTTTTAACAGAAAAGCTCTGACTGGGGATTTAATTATTTAAATCTGGCAACCAAGCACAAACGCCCATAGACACAGTCTGTTAACAAAACAAAAAAAAACGGATGACGAGTCGGACAAGAAATTTAAGGTCCGTACGTGAAATTTAAGACCTCCTTATCGTAAATTTCAGATTTTAAGACCGTAAAAAGCGAAAATTTTATTTACGACGTTTTAAGGACCCGCGGGGACCCTGTTCTTAAGTTACTTCCGCCTGTCGGCTGTGTACGGACGTTGGTTTTTGCCGTTATTTTGTATTGAAGTCTATGGGGAGTCTAGTTTGTTTCCTTTAAAAGGGGGCGGGGACAAAATTGACAGTTAAGTTCCAGGATGTGCCGGTTGTGCGTTTCAGGAGATTATTATTCTGAAGTGAACCAATCCTTTAAGCTCAGATCTATGATCATAAAGGGTTAAACCCCATCAGACTGAAGATTGAGATATTCTGTGGTAAGGCTGAGCGGTGTCAGGTGTGTGTCGTGAGGTTCAGTCACCTGGCCTGCAGGTCGAGCGAGCGCTGTTTGCCGATGATGGTGAACGCGTGCGGGACGTTCTGCTTGACGTTTCCCTGGACCTGGCGTGAGTGAGATAAAGACAGGAGATTGCTCATGTTACAGAACACACAGCAGTTATTCACACACAGCTGATAATACACATGAAGAATCTGAACAGCAGAAGCAGTTATACAATATAATATCAGATAATCAACATTACTAACATATGTACAGAGAGATAAAAATGAAGTCGTACCTCCATCCCGGCGATATCGATGCGCTCTCGAACGCTGAACTTCTGTCCCATGAGCCTCAGCTTCGGCACACAGTACAGCACCATGTTATTGAACTGTCAGAGCAGAAACATCATCATCAACATTACTCTTCTGTGTGTTCATTATATCAGAACCTTTTCACTGTATTCTCATTTTGACTTTAGGGTTTTCATAATATCACGATTATAACATATAAAGGCTTGAAATATTTCACTTAGCATGTAATGAGTCTATATAATACATTAGTTTCACTGAAATAAAAGAACTTTTGCAACATATTCTCATTTTTCGAGTTATAGCCGTACATGATTCTCCCGCGATTCAGAACACACAACTAAACAAAATAACTTCATTTACTGAGCTTCTGACTCAATGTTAATTGCTGCGGTCTATTCAAAAAATATCTAATTCATTTTAATTATTTTAAAAAAAAAACAGGTGTGAGTGAATGATTCAATGACTCACTCATAAAGACTTCACTTGTTTTATTACTGGATGAATCTCTTGAGTGAATGATTCAATGACTCACTCATAAAGACTTCATTTGTTTCATTACTGGATTAATCTCTTGAGTGAATGATTCAATGACTCACTCATAAAGACTTCATTTGTTTCATTACTGGATGAATCTCTTAAGCGAATGATTCAATGACTCACTCATAAAGTCTTCACTTCTCCTTGACTCACCCGCGATTCAGAACACACAACTAAACAAAATAACCTCATTTACTGAGCTTCTGACTCAATGTTAATTGCTGCAGTCTATTCAAAAAATATTTAATTCATTCAATTATATTCAATATTCATTTAATTCATTAATTAAAAAAAAAACAGATGTGAGTGCATGATTCAATGACTCACTCATAAAGACTTCATTTGTTTCATTACTAGAATAGAATAATCATTGTTTTTGAATGAATCTATTCAGTGAATGTTTCAATGACTCACTCAAAAAGTCTTCACTTGTTTCATTACTGGATGAATCTCTTGAGTGAATGATTCAATGACTCACTCATAAAGTCTTCACTTGTTTCATTACTGGATGAATCTCTAGAGTGAATGATTCAATGACTCACTCAAACAGTCTTCACTTGTTTCATTACTGGATGAATCTCTTGAGTGAATGATTCAATGACACACATATTTCAAGTCTCTTGTCTCCCCCTACTGGAGTAACGATGTAATGCAATCTTTATGTGAAGCCTCAAGTTACTTTCAAAAGCTGATTTGCTCTATTTTATCAGTGTTTATATCTGATCTATAATCTCCTGTGATCATCCGAGTGATTTTAAGACAGATATAATGATAGTGAGATGTTGAAAGCCTGTTAGTGAAGCGGTTTCACATCTACTCATGACGCCGGCTCTCTGGATCAGGACTCGGATCTGAATGTTCCCGATAAACGGAGGAGACGCACCAGATAGAGGTATCGGTCCTGAGCCGTGCCGTTCTTCGCCGACATCTTCTTGATGTGTCCTTCCTTAATGAACTCATTAGCAGGATTAACGATGTCCTCCTCTCCGCCCAGCCGCTCGTACACCTCCAACAGCTTGTGCATCTTCTCCTGCGCGCGCACACACACACACACACACACACACAAAGAGAGGGAAAGGTCAGTCATTTGTAACGTTTAGCATTCACAAACTCATTAGATGAAAAGAAGAACTGTGATTGGCCGCATGACAGCATTAAAGAGAGGCCGATAGAGAAGTGAGAGTACTATAGAGCATTCAACCCAGGAGTCCCTGCTCACACACACACACACACACACACACACACACACAGGAAATGGTATCAGCACATCCTGTCTGTGAGATGAAAATAAAGAAATTCTCACCATTTTCCTGATGGCAGCGTTGGAGTGGTTTGCAGCCGTGGAGATCAGCTCCAGAGCATCTGACACACACACACACACACACACACATCAGTCACTTCTGTATAATCAAACATCATTAAAAAACAGTCAGCTCAGACATCGACAAATATAGTCAATAATGAAGCATTAACAGGCATAACTGACACATCATCATAAATCAGGAATCATTCAAAAGATTAAACTAAGTGTAAACATGATATAAACCAGCACTTTACAAACTTTTATCGGCTCAATTTTTCAACTTCAAAGTTGGAACAAAAAGATTTTTTAGATTTTATTTTAATTATTTTTTTTTTTTTTTAGTTTTTCGAACATTTGCTTTACGGTAAACACGTTTTTTTTTTTTTTTTTACATTTTTTTCAACTTCTGCAATAATCAAACCAAACTTTACTTTCCTGTCTGTCCTCAAAAAGAGAGATGACAGGTTAAATAAATACATAATACAATTATTAAGTATGTCGTGGAATGTTGCAATCAATCAATAAAGTATAAACAATAAAGTATAAAAATACAATGTAAGCATATAAATATATGTATGAAGTAGCAGTGAAATGCAGAGTTACACGTGACGGCCCTCGTGCGTCAGAAGTCGAGAGCGGGACATCACAATATAATGTGCTCTGTGTGCACTTCACTCACACACACTCACACACACGTGTGTTATTGCTTATTATCGGGAAGTCTTGAATAATTATAAAGAATTGAACTATTGTATGATGTTTATTACAGTGAGATAACAAACAACATGTTTAAATACA